GTTTAAATTGTGTGGGTTTTGTGTCTGGATTGAATCCTGACTCATAAAACATCTCCCATAAGTTTGCTGTTGTGATTCCCTCAATTTTGAGCTTTTTTTTTTTTTAAAGAGAAAGAGGGTTTTGTTAATGACATATGCTGGTTATTTTATTTTTTATTATTATTATTATTTTTTTTTTATCCTCACCCTAGGACATTTTTCCAATTTTTGTACAGATAGAGTGGGAGGGAGAGAGAGGAAGAGAGAGAGAGAGAGGAACATCGACGTGAAAGGGACACATCGAGTGGCTGCCACCCGCACGACCAGCCAGGGCCCGGGACAAACTGCAACCGAAGTACGTGCCCTTAGTGGGAACCGAACCCGGGTCTCTCCGGACCGCAGGCCGACGCTCTAACCGCTGAGCCAAACCGGCCAGGGCAATTTTGAGCTTTTGATTGTCCATCTACATTTGTCAACAAAGGGATGCTGGCTGTGGCTGACCAACAAATAGAAGTTGTTAAGCTGATCACAGTTTCAGTTATATCAAGAAAGGATTCAAACCAAGGTTGCAAAACTTCCAAACACTTAGAATTGGATTTCATTTTTATTTCTATTCAATTTAAAACAAATTTGCAATTTTCAATGTTTGAAAATAGAACTTAGAGCAAAATTTTCTGGAAAAAAAAATGTTTACATGTTAACCAATTTATATCGAGTTTTTATGCTTAAATGCTCCACTATGCTATCTCTCACAATATAAACAGGTAAGATTTGAGATGTAAAATATTAAAAGCAAAGACTAAAAAGTACTTCAAAATATAAGAAATCAAAGTTAAGTACATTCCAGGTTAAGAATGTCTAAAGATAGAATGAGTACTTCTTTCTGCATGTGACAATGTTGATTATTTCTCCCTTTTCTCGACTGCCCTAACACTCCTTTAAAAAAATTTTTTTTGTTGTTAATCCTCACCAGAAGATTTTTTTTCCCTCATTGATTTGTAGAGAGAGTGGAAGGGAGGGGTGATGGGGAGAGAAAAGAGAGAAACATCAATGTGAGAGAAACACATCTATCAGTTTGCCTCTGCACACACCCGACCAGGACTGGGGATCAAATCTACAACCCAGCTACATGCCCTTGACCAGGAATCAAATCCGTGATCCTCTGGTGTGCAGGCCAATGCTCTAACCATTTAGCCACGTGGCCAGGGCTAACACTCCTTCCCTCCACCCCCATGCCTTCTCAGTTTCCTTTACAGGCTCCTCTGTCTCTGTCCACACTTTAAAATGTCAGTGTTTCGCCCAGCCGGTGTGGCTCAGTGGTTGAGCATCGACCCATGCATGCACTAAGAGGTCGCCTGTTTGATTCCTGGTCAGGGCACATGCCCAGGTTGTGGGCCAAACCCCCAGTGAGGGGCATGCAGGAAGCAGCCAATCAATGTTCTTTCTCATCAATGTTTCTATCTCTCTCTCCCTCTCCCCTCCTCTCTCTCTCAAAACAAATAAAGAAAAAAAATAAAGAAAATGTCAGTATTTCCCTGGATTCTGTTCTTGGCTCTCAGATCTCATTGATTCTGGGTGAGTTTATCCATTCTTAGGTAATGTCTCCTTCATTCGTATCAGTAGCCTAGGCCTGTCCCCTGAGCTCCAACTTTACTGATCCAAGTTCCAGTCTAGGGGCCAGCAGATGACAGCCTGTGAGCCAAATTCAGCACACTACCGGCTTTTTTTTTTTTTTTATCCTCACCTGAGGACATTTTTCCACTTTTTGCTCAAATAGAGTAGGAGGGAGAGAAAGGAAGAAAGAGAGAGAGAAACATCGACATGAAAGGGACACATCGAGTGGTTGCCACCCACACGACCCAACCAGGGCCGAGGACAAACTGCAACCGAGGTACATGCGTGCCCTTAGCAGGAACCGAACCCGGGTTTCTCTGGACCGCAGGCCCACACTCTAACTGCTGAGCCAAACCAACCAGGGCCACTACCGGCTTTTATATTTAAAGTTTTATTGGAACACAACCACACCCACTTGTTTAAATAGTCTGTGGTTGATTTCTTAATACAATGGTAGAGTTGAGTGGTTGTGAAAGAGAACATATGGCCCTAGAAACCTACAATATTACCTGGCCCTCCACAGAATAAGTTTACTGAGTCTTACTCTAGCTTAATTTGTGCCTACTCTTGAGTTTTAGCCATGACTGAGCATGCATTTTTTTTTGTTTTTGAGCATGTATCCTCACTGGAGGATACTTTTCCATTGATTTTCAGATAGAGTGAGAGGGAGGGAGAGAGAAACATCGATGTGAGAGAGACACACCTATTAGTTGCCTCCCGCAAGACCCCAACCAGGGCTGGAGATCGAACCCCAACCGAGATATGTGCCCTTGACCAGAATCGAACCTGAGATCCCTTGGTCCACGGCTGACTGAGCATGTATTTTCAAACAGTGGGGTTGGCCTACCAATAATAGATTTACCTGCATCTCTCTGAATGAGAGGAGTGAAAATGTAGATTAGCTCTGGAATTCATAACCAAGTCCCATAGATAAAGGCTACAACAGCAAAGTGAAGGTGTGTTTTAGGAATTCTGTCACAGGGGACATAAGGAGTCTAGTGCACAATGCTCATTGCTGTAGAATAACCTAGGGAGCATTTAAAGGCGGATTTCAGGCCTCATTCTTAGAGATTCTGATTCAGTAAATCTGAGGAGAGGCTTGGGAATCTGAAATTTTAGAATGTGCTCCCAGTCGTTCTATTATGTAGCAAGTAAATCGTCAGAATTTGGAAGTCCAATTGACCTAAAAATCCATGACCCAATAAGGTGGTCTTTTTATTCTTGATGAATCATTAAAAAGAGGCCAATTCATTTCTCTTGATCTACATTATTTCTGAGTCTCTAGCTTTAGGGAATTACAATACAGAACTCAAAATCTCTTAGCAATGATTTTTCTCAACCGCTCTCCTAGCACTAAGGATCATAAAACAGAAACTCTACGTTTCCATATTGATTGATGTTTTAAAAGTGCTTTCACATCTCTCAACAATCCTGTGAGATACTGTAATATCCAATTTGCTTGATCACACTGAGCATTTGCTTGGGTTTTATCACACTTACCAAAACCCTGTCAATCCAGTCTACCCAGGGCCACTTCCAGCCTGTTCATTCATGCTTCCATTCAACAACAAAAAAATTTTTGAACACTTGCCCGTCATTGTTAGGTACAGAGGATACAGTGGTGAACTGGGTAAAATGCCTGCATGGAGCTTACATTCTAGCTGCAGGGAGCCTTCTCCTAGAGGTGCCTCCTGTGTGAACCACTCCCGCAGCCTATCCTAGCCTCAATCTTCTGGTCAGGGATTTCCGCCGAAACTTCCTAGAGAAAGGGTAACCTTCGTGCCCTGGCCATGCCACCCCCTGTCCTACAAAGCCGATTCTGCGGCTGTGGTGGGGCTTGTGTTAGGTCGCTGTTAAGACTCCATTGGCTCCATGTTTTCTTCGGTTCTCTCCGAGGCCGTGGGTGCAGCTGACTGAGTTCCGTGTGTCTTGGCTCCAAGGATGCATCTCTTGTTCGGGATTCGTCTAAGTCCTCATATGAGTAATGAGTGCTCTTCAGCGATGCTGACATCAGAATAAACCCCGAGCCTCACCTGACTGCGGTCGGGCCGGCCCCTGCAGAGTCTCTTTGGTAGGAAAACTGAGAAACCTAACGGAGAACAGCTTCCCAGGGGGGAGCCGAAGGTCAGAGCCAGAAGAGACCTGATGTAACGTCACTGCCGTTCAAAGACGGGACGTCCGAGACCCAGAGAGGCTACCCACGCGGCCTCAGGCCACACAGCCCAGCGGGCGGATGTGGGCCCAGGGCCCGAGCCAACCGACCAGGACGCTGGGTCCTGCCCCTCACAGGGAACGTCTGAATCGGTGCAGCCTCCTCGCCGCGTCCGCGCGGGCTCCTCCCTCGTGTCCGTTCCTCGCCGCTCTGTCTTAGGTCGTTTCCCTTGAAGTCGGGGCAGTCCACAAACAGGTGTCCGGACCACGGCCCGGCGTCGGGGAGTGGGGTGTCCGTGCCCGGCGGGAACTCTCCCGCTCCCACTTACAAAGTTTCCTCGAGCCGTACGTTCGTCGTTCAGATTCATGGCTGCGATGCCAAGATGCCTGCGGTGGCCTCCGACGAAGTTCGGAGATGCCAGCGCCTCGCACAGCCGGGGACCGGGGAGCGTCGGCCGCAGAGCCGGCCGTCCTCGGGCCTGGCGGGCGGCGGGGCTGTGCCGGGCGCGGGGCGGGGCGGCCCCTCGGCGCGCGCGGCTCGCCCGGGCTTCGAGGGCCGCGGGGCCGCGAGCCCCGGCGCGGAGCGAGAGGCGCGCGCGGGCCGTGGGGGCTGGGCCGAGGCGGAGCGCGAGGCGGCGGCGGCGGCGGCGGCGGCGGGAGGCGCGGTGGGACCCGGCAGCGGCCCCCGCCCCCCGAAGTCCGTCCCCGCGCGGGGCTGGGGAGCTCAGGGCGGGGAAGCCGCGGGGCCGCGCCACGTCCGTCGCCCGCCCCAGAGCGGGTTTTGCAGTCGGCTCCACGCTGGGGGCTTTTGTGTCTGCGACTCGGGAGCGGCGAGAGCGCAGACCTCCTCCTCAGAGGGCGCTGTGAGTGCGCCGCCAGGGCCCGGCCGCCCGCTCCCGCCTCCCCTGTCAGCGGCTCCTCAGGCGGCGGCCGCGGAGAAGAAGGAGTGGGAGGAGACGGCGGCGCACTCGTCGTCGCACATGCCGGCTCCGGGCGGGGGGCTGCCCCCAGGCCGCGCTCCCCGCCGCCGCCGCTGAGCCCGGCCAGCCCCCGCACGCCGCCCGGCCGCCCCGAGGCCTCGTCCTCCTCCCAAACTTTGCAAAGTCGGCCCGGGTCCCCGCCGCCCTCGGCCGCGCCTCGGCTCGGAGGCTCGCCTCGCAGCCGCAGCGGCCCCGCGAGGAGGAGGAGCCGCCGCCGCCGCATCAAAGAGACCGAATTCCCGCGGCCTGGGGGGGAGTCATGCTTTGCGGTCTGTAATGTCAGCGGAACAGGAGAAGGATCCCATTTCGCTGAAGAGAGTTCGAGGTAACCGAGACGGGCGCCGGATTGAGGGGGTCTGGGGAGCGGGGTGCGCGGGGGCCGCCCGCCCGGCCGCTGGGAGGCCACCGGGCTCTGTCCGGGCCTAACTCCGCGCAGCACGCGTCCCGCCCGCGCCCCGGGGCCGAGGCTGCGGTCGGAGGCGCGCGGCCCCGGCGCCCGCTCGCCCGCTCGCCCCCCGCGCGGAGCCCTCGCCTCCCCGACTTTGTGCTCGGAGGCCGTGGACGCCGCACTCCGCATCCCTTCGCTCCCCGCTCCTCTTCCACCTTATCTCATTTGCAAGACACAGCACAATAGGTACCTCAGAGGGTGGGAAAGAAACACCCCCTGGCCGAGATCACGAACGATGCCCACCCCCCCAAAAAGTAAGTTGGACTGCACAAGAGTTGACGTGCTTGAAGAAGGTGCACCGGCCTTCGAGTCCCTCCCAGCCCCCGCTCCCCACCCCCCAGAAGACAACAAACAGCTTATTTTCCTTAGGCGTAAGAGGAGAAACTATGTAGATTCGAAAGGCGTTTCCTCTGTGGGCTGCTGGATAAGAATCGAGTCACCCCAAACCAGTGTCACACACGATTGCTTGGCTTCCGTGTACACGCTAGGCATTTTCCTGCTGCCTTACTATCTAAGAGAAATCAGAGGGAACGATGTTCCAGACAAAAGATAATGCATGTAAGTTGACTTTCCCCAAGAGCCGTCCGGAAATTTGGGGGCTATCCACCAGCCTTTCTTTCCAGCTCTTAATAAGGTTAAGGATGAAAACCCCCACGTTGATGTAATACCGTTGGTTCGTTAAGCAGATATTTATTGAACATCTACTGTGTGCTAGGCGCTGTTCTTGGCCCTGGGATACAACAGGGAACAAAGCAAAAGACAGTCATCACCCCGCAGGAGTTCACCCTCTTGCGGGGTAAACAACTGATAAATAAAAGGTATAGAATGTCAATGGTAAGTGCTGTGGAGAAAGAAAGAAAAAGAAAGAAAATAAGCAGGGAAAGTGGTTAGGAAATATGTATAGGTGTGGGGAGGTGGCAGTTACATCGAGTATGTGTAAGAGAGCTAACCTGGAACTTGATGTTTGAGCAGAGCCATATGGATACTCTGGGAAGAGCGCTCTGGGCAAAAGGAACAGCAAGTGCAAAGGCCCTAGGAGTGGAGTTTGCCTAGTGAATTCAAGCAACAGCAAAGAAGCCACTGTAGCTGGTGCGGACTGAGTAGTATGAGCTGAGCTTAAGGATAAGGGGATTGTGTACTGGGGGCCTGTGGACCCTTGAAAAAGACTTTGGCTTTCACTCTGACATACTGACTGGACCTTTTGAGCAGAAGCATGATTCATCTGACATAGTAACAGGGTTTCTGTGGCTGCTGTGTGGAGAATAGACTGTAGAGAACAAGAGTGGAAACAGGGAAGCTATTTTGAGGCTATTGGCAATAATCCTTTCATCCAAACAGGATCAAGTGCTTTATAAATCAGTAAGTAGTAAGGTAAATTTCCAAATTGGCTTAAGTGATGTAGAGATCAAGGACCACAGTCATTCATCTATGTTTTGGTTCCATGTGACTAGAGATTAAACATATCGTATTGGCTTTTGACACAGTGACAATGTGGTATCCAAAAAACATCCACTCAAGTATTTAGATAGAGATGGATTTTCTTAGCCATTTAAGCAAACACATAATTTAGAAAAGACTGTTGTGTTTAAAGGCTTAATATCAGCACAATCTTTCATTTGGTGATGGTTTTCTATTTCAATTTTCTTTTCTGTTTGTGGTTGCAAGTTGCCAAAGCCTTTAAGGAATAGACCTTTCTGAGATGCAATTATTCCTCTGATCTGTTTGCCATATTATTGTGTCTATTATTATAAATTACTTTGGAGTTGAAGGAAAATGAAGAGAGCTATCAAGTTTATATCTTTGAACTCAATTATCAGTCTTAATCAAATGTAATTTTAAATAAAATGGATATATATTTTTTTGTGGGTCAAGATCACGATCTATCTTCATTTTGTTCCAACTTATGCTTTTAAATTTGATGCCTTAACTGTTAGGAGTTGATTCAGGTATCCACTCAAGAATATTCTGAAAATTAAATACCAGAATAAAAGAACAAATATGTTTTAAAATAAAAAGTCAACATCAGGAGGGTTTTTTGTAATAAGTCATTTTGTAATAATTAGAACATTAACTTTTAAAAAACATTTTGGATTATTTTATAATCCATAAAAGGTACCAGATTATCTACATGAGCTCTTCTGAAGCACAGTTCTGTTGAACTGCCTTAGAACTTTTTGTTATAATTTGTGTCATCAGAGTGCATGCAGGATGTGGTGTTTACAGAGCATAAACTTCTCAAACTATTTCCCATCCACTGATGTATACAGATAGATTTTTTAATAGTTATGTATTTATTTTATGTGTGTTATAAAAATATAAGTCAACAGACTTCTTGCTTAGGATAAGGCTAAGATATTATAGGTTCAACTCAGATATGGCACAATTATGACATGAATGACTAAGGACTTTATAGTAGTATGGTCTGTAGACCAAACACATCATAATTCTGTGGGATGCTTATTTAAAAAAGCACATTCCTGGCCCTTGCCAGTTTTTCTCAGTGGTTAGAGCATTGGCCCACTGACTGAAGGGTCTCAGGTTCGATTCCTGGTCAAGGGCATGTACCTGGGTTGCAGGTTCTATCCCTGGCCCGTTGGGGCATACAGGAGGCAACCAATTGATGTGGTTCTCTCACATCATTGTTTCTCTACCTCTTCTCCCTCTCCTTCCTTCCCTCCTACCATTCCATTCTCTAAAAATCAATGGAAAAATATCCTTGGGTGAGGATTAAAAAAATAAAATTAAATAAATAAAAATGCACATTCCTGGACCCACAGAATCAGGATTCTTTGCAGATTTTTCTCCATTTTTAGCAAGATTTCCCAAGTGTTCCTTATGCACATTAAAGTTTGAGAACTCCTGCTGGTAGACCTAGATTGCAAAGGTGAGTGGACCAGAGGAAGCTGATTTGTGGTCTTCTAAACTTGTCCTGATATTTTACTACTAGATTCAGAATTGCTCTTTAATGGCAAAGTATCTTACTCCTACTTTCTACCAGGTCTTACCACTCGCAGACCCTCAGCCCTTGATTGTAAGACACATCCATGAGGGTAGGTATGATTTCTTGAGTTTCTTTCTGTTTCTCCCCTAATTGCCTTGTGAATGAATGAGTGAATACATGAAATAGCTCATTCATATCTTTATATTGCTTTCTGATTGTCCACAGCCCCCTCATACTACTGTTACTTTTTTTTCTTTAGAATGTTACCTCTCATTTTTATTTTAATCAACACTCTCATTCTTCAGTGTTCTTAGAACTCTTGGTGTCGATCTGATGACAATATTCATTTGCTTACTCAACAAATATTTATTGAGCACTCATAGTGCCAGACATTAATTAAGAAGACATAATACTGGTATTTAAGACATTTTTAGTCTAGTCCAGGATGCTGACAAATAAGCACACATTTACAAACAGCATGATAAGTGCTATGGTCATCTACAGAAAATAAAGGTACAAATAACCTATCTTTAAGGAAACCATGGAAGACCTCTGGGAGAAGAATTCTAAGAAGCAGTGTGTGGTCAATTGTATAAAACTATGTAGGAGTGCCCTAGCCAGTGTGGCTCAATTGGGTGAGCACCATCCCATGCACCTAAAGGTCACTGGTTTGATTCCCGGTCAGGGTGCATACGGGAGGCGACTAATCAGTGTTTCTCACATTGATGTTTCCCTCTCTCCCTCTCCATCTGCTTTCCTCTAAAAAAAAAAAAAAAAAAAAAAAAAAAAAAAATCAGTGAAGAAACATTTAAAATAAAACTATATAGGAGCAATAAAAAGAGCATGAGGGATGAAAAAATGTCTAGGAAATCAGTGGTGATTTGGGAAGAAAACCACATTTTAAAGTAGTGAGATAAGTGGTATAGATACAACTTAAAAGAAGCTTGGTGGTAGACAGAAAGACATAGCCAATATCTTGGAAAGATAAGAGTCAAGAGAAAGTTTGATGGGTCTCTTATTTATTTTTTCTCCCTTGTAAAAAGGCTTAAATGTATTTGTAGACTTAAGAGAAGAACCTGATGTAGAGGGAGAGGGGAGAAACTAAAAAGGCAACAGAAAGAAAATAATTCCTTTATATAGCATTTAATACACGCTTTTTAATATTTACCATGTGCTAGGCACTCACTGTTCTGGAGGCTGGGGATGAAATAGATAAGGCTCCTAGTCTTATAAATTAGGTCTCTGTAGATGAGGGAAGGGGAATAGCATCAAAAATGCAAATGAAGAGTTAGTTTTGAGGGAAAAAAGAGAATGGAGGAAAAAAGATAGAAATGTAAAGATGAAGAAGGAAGCTGAGACATTTATTTCAGATGAAATGCTTTTAACCAGAGTTAGAAATGACATTGGAAAGATAAGGATGCATTTTAGAATGGGATAATAACACAGAGATGTCATAAAAGTGTTAAAAGTAGACTTTACTAGAAAATACAGGCTCTCTTGATCAGAAAGGTGTATGGAGGATATGGATTAAAATTGGAGAGGGAGCATAATTTATGTAGTCACAGAATCAACAGGATGAGAAGCTGATAGAATGTTTAAAGGAAAGTTTTTGAGTTTTTTGTTGTCTTTTAATTAGTACATGTTAGGAATAGACAGATTATTAGGAAAGGGAGTTTGGTTTTCAACACACTGAATGAATATCCCCCTGGGATGTTACAGGGTACGCAACGGATATAATGGTTTGGAACCAAGGCAGGTGATCAGAGTCAGAAATAGAGATCTGGAAGTTATCAGTAAACAGGTGAATACTAATTAATGCCTTGGGAGTAGATGAGCTCATCCAGAGAGTGAAAAGTGAGAGAGAAGAATTGAGAAAAGCAACTTTGGAAACACAAATATTTAGAAGAGAAAAGAGGACCCTGGGGAGCAGAATGTG